TCTGGCACAATGCCTTTCTGTCGAGAAAAAGGCCCGTAGTGATGAAATGCAAAGTACGGTGATTGATCTTTCTATATATATATAGATATAATGTATGTGTGTGTGTGTATTTAATTTATTCTTCCTTTTTTTATTATAATATTTAGAGGAAGACCTAAGGTTCTTTTCCTGGTATTGTCAATTGAAGAGTGAGGAGTAGTTTTGACATAGAAGTACATTAAGTAATTAACATCTTGAAAGATGTTAAGGTTTTCCATTTTTCTTATCGGTAGTTAAGAGATGGTCCATAAAAATCAAAGGAAAATTCGGATCTGAATTGTGCATCACGCACCTGGTCTTATTTATAATTTTGCTTTTTATGCTTAGATGAATTCAGATCATGCTGATTTTCTTTTTAAAATTTTCCTTTTCCAGTGTGGGAACTAGCACCATATATTGAGGCTATTGATTCTCAGGATTCATCTCCATTCATTGTGAGTGAACAATTCTTCTCCCTGTTGATACATATGGTTCTTTACCATCATGATAATATTTGATGTTTGATATGTTATCTTTTTTATCTTGATAGATACAGTCAAATACTATGAAGTTAATTTTGAATAGTAAATTCCAATTTGCTCCTCTCAGTTATTCAATAACTGCTGTATGGACTAAGCATTATACACAATTTTCTTTTAGACTTGTGCTGATTCTGGTCATCTATTATTCCAGATTCGATACTACTGCAGCATATTACGTGTCCGTTGGGAGTCAAGTCGTAGCCGAACAAAGCAGCGTGCCTTATTGATGATGGAAAAGCTGGTACTTTTCCTTTGTCACTGTTCTCATCCTGCATTCTAAGTTATGATCAATAATGTCCTGCTTTAGGACCTTTTCTCTATATCCCCTTTCATATTATTTTGACTCAGATAGAGTATAGCTTTGCCCTTTGCTTGCACGGTATGCTATAATTTTATCGCGACTCTTTTTCTTGGGCAATCATTGCCCAACACTAAAAATCTCGTATTTTGTCCACTAACAGGTGGAGGGCTTATACGACCCTTCTCCAGGAGTTTCTCAAAGATTACACTACTGTTTCGCCGTCAACATGCCATCAATTCCCGCACTTCGCAAGTAAAATCTCATTTCTCTTTCAATTCTCTTCAAACATTCCCTGGAATCAAATTTTAAATAAATAATAAAGACGAAAAAAAATACCAGAAAATAGATAACTGCAGAAAAATAAAAGCCAAACGACAAAAAAAAAACCCTAAAATTCCAAAATATTTCCATCAGATGCAATTGTGACACCACAAACTTTAAAAAAAATCTAGGGAATACGGGGACCTTCTCGTAAGCTGTGGCCTTATAGGCGAAGCCCTCACAACATACGAGGACCTCGAGCTGTGGGACCACCTGATCCACTGCTACCAGCTCATGGACAAAAAACCGGCCGCCATTGACCTCATCAACCGGCGCCTTCTCGAAAAACCCTCCGACCCACGGTTATGGTGCTCCCTCGGTGACATCACCCATGACGATGCCCCTTACCACAAAGCCCTTGAAGTCTCCGGCCACCGCTCGACCAGGGCCTTACGGTCCCTGGCCAAGTCCGCCTACAATCGAGCCGACTATGAAAACTCGAAAAAATTCTGGGAATCGGCCATGAGCCTCAACTCAATGTACCCTGACGGGTGGTTCGCGCTCGGGGCCGCTGCCCTCAAGTCGAGAGACATTAACAAGGCACTCGATGCCTTCACCCGATCCATCCAGCTGGACCCGGAAAATTCCGAGGCCTGGAACAACATAGCCTGCATTCACAAGGTCAATAAACGAAGCAGGGAATCTTTTATCGCGTTCAAGGAGGCGTTGAAGCTGAAGCGCAACAGCTGGCAGATGTGGGAGAATTATAGCGACGTGGCGGCAGATGTCGGGAACTTCGGACAGGCGCTGGAGGCCGTGTCGATGGTGCTCGAGTTGACCAAGATGAAGAGAGTGAACTGCGATTTACTTGGGAGGGTCGTGTCGGAGGTCGAGGGGCGAAACGGTAATTTTTCTGTCCTGGCGGAGCAGCTCGGGAGGGTTTTGAGATGCGCCGTTCAGGGTTGTGGGGGGAGTTCGGAGTTGTGGGGGTTGTATGCCAGGTGGCACAGGGTGAAGGGAGATTTGGTTATGTGTTCGGAGGCACTTTTGAAGCAGGTGAGGTCGTGTGGGGGAGAGGATGTGTGGAAGGATAAGGAGAGGTTTGTGAAGTTTGCACGAGCCTCGCTGGAGCTTTGCCGTGTGTACAAGGAGCTTGCGTCTCGAAAGGAGCTGTTTGCGGCCGAGATGCATCTGAAGAGCACGATCAAGCGGGGAACTGATTTTAGTGAGACACAAGAGTACGGGGAGCTCGTGGCCTGCCTGGAGGACGTGCAGGCAGCGTTGGCCAACGGCAACGGGTCCGTTGTTTCGTAACAAGGCTATTGCTGCTGTTATTTTGTGACCTAAACATTAATTAGGTAACTATATTTTTTAAATTTAATTTTATAAGATAGGCATTTTATAGTGTATAATCATACAATTTTTTGTTTTAAAATGTGTTTGATAGGTTGGTCCGTGCTTCCACCATTTTGTGTTGTAACTTGTCACAATGAATTATGCTTGAGTTTAATTTGACCATCAAAATGAATGTTAAGAAATTGCACTGGGCAAAAATACAATGTCGAAAAGAGAAGTATGTGTTCGTTCTTCTTGAAGTGAAGTGGCACCGAACGTGATTGGTAAATTAGCTTATCTGATTTAGAAATACGATGTGTTAAAGTTGCATGTCAGAAGGTGATTAGGGCGTGATTGAATATGAATTCAACAAAAAATTGGTCTTTTCTTAATTATAGTTTAATTTGAAAAAATGTGGTATGATTATTTGTTAGTGGATATATTAAAATAATATTTAAAATAAATAATTAAAGTTGATTTGATATAAAAGTAGGAGAAAATGATTGGAAGTGATGGTTAGTTAAAATTATGTGAGTGGATGAATAGTGAATTAAAGTTGATGTGATGTGTAAGAATGATTGGTTTTTTTTTTTTTTTT